AACACACACACCTGGTCACATTGTATCCACAGTCAGCACAGAGCACACACACCTGGTCACATTGTATCCACAGTCAGCACAGAGCACACACACCTGGTCACATTGTATCCACAGTCAGCACAGAGCACACTGCTTGATTCCCTTTTGCTGCTCTCTTTTTTTTTCTTTTTCTTTCTTTAAGATGACCTCACTGTATGCAGTAGGCTGGCCTGGAACACATGGAGATCTGTCTACCTCTGCCTCCTAAGGGCTTCACAGTAATCCTGGAGAGAAATGATGAATCGGGATTGTATTCTGGCCAAGGAGTAATAATGACGATGGGAAACAAGATCTCCAGTTACTGGTTTAGCTTGAAGATGGACCTAACAGATTTGCTGATGAATAGGACAAGAATATGGGAAGATAGCAGGAGTCTAGGCTTATACTGGAGGATTTTTACATGGCAGATGGAGTTCTGTCCTCAGAGATGAGAAGTCTTGGTTTCATAGGAAGCTTACGATTCAGGCCAAGGTGAGGTATGCATTCAGCATCTCAGTGGAAGGCCAAACAGGCAGCAGGTGCAATTGGGCAGGTGAGCCTAGAGGTCTTTCTTGTTGCTGTGACAAGATACCTGGTCAGAGCCACTTAGGAAGGTTTGTTTCAGCTCACAGGTCCAGGGTGGAGAAGTCATGGTGTCAAGAGCATGGGGCTTTGGTCACCTTGCACCCGTAATAAATAGAAGGAGATGCTGGTGCTCAGCTGGCCCTCTATTTTATTCAGTCCAGGCCCCCAGCCCCTGCAATGGTTCCAATCACACTTGGGGGAAGGGGTGTTTAGGTACCAAAGAGGATGTGGGGAATCAGCAGAGGAAGGAGGAGGAGATGGACAGGAACTAAGGGTGAATTGGGGTGGCTGCCAGCAGATTACACCTTTTTAAAAAATATTTATTTATTATGTATACATTATTCTGTCTGTATGCCTGCATGCATACACAGAAGAGGGCACCAGACCTCATTACAGATGGTTGTGAGTCACCAAGTGGTTGCTGGGAATTGAACTCAGAACCTTTGGAAGAGTAGTCAATGCTCTTAACCACTGAGCCATCTCTCCAGCCCCAGATTACACCTTTTATACTGTATAGTTGCATTTAGAATTAAAACTCGGGACAGGGACACCTGAGCCGGGGTTGGGGGGTGTGTGACTTGAGATCAGGGGTTGAGGAATCTAACTTTGACCCTGACAATAGGCAGCAGTCACCTGTTAATGGAAGGATCACAAGTTCCTCTTGCTAGAGATAAGAACGGCTGCTTTATCACACAAGAACTTTCCTCAAGCCTCCAGGGAATGGAGACCCTTATCTAGATGCCTGACTGGGGGGGGGGGGGGGCTTCTTCTGGAGCAGACGCTATAGTACACTTTCTTAGACTTACTATATCTGTCCCCCTCATGATGTCCTGATGTCTTATTCTTTTCCCATTATACTGTACCATTCTGATTTCTCTGTATTTATGAGCTGAACTCTTACCTTTGATGGCCTCAGGCTCTGGATCTGAACTGTAGACATTTCATCCTTGGGGTCAGGTGTGTCTAGTAAGTCTCTAATGTTCCTGTTCTTGGTGTGATTAGGACACGTTGGAATTCTTGATTCTAAGGTGGTGGGATTTTTTCCCCCAAAGAATTACTTGTTTAGAGAGGCTACCACTGTACACATTTTTTAAAAATATTTATTTATTTATTATGTATACAATATTCTGTCTGTATGCCTGAAGGCCAGAAGAGGGCGCCAGACCTCCTTACAGATGGTTGTGAGCCACCATGTGGATGCTGGGAATTGAACTCAGGACCTTTGGAAGAGCAGGCAATGCTCTTAACCACTGAGCCATCTCTCCAGCCCCATTGTACACATTTTTATCCTTTTATCAAAACCAACAAAAAATTTCCCAAAGCAAAAGGCATTAATAGCGAGAATCATTATAATTGGGAGTAAAAAGGTGCTGGAGAAGTGTGGTCTGCAGTGCGGAAATGCTGGAACTGTGTCAAACATTGGTCACAATGCAGTCCACACCAATCATGAAACTCCTTCGTAGGCATACCCTATTGGCGAATCTAGATCCTGTTAGTTTATCGGCAGTATTTTTGACACTAATAAATTTAATTTCTGTATATATACTTAGTGTAACGAAGAAAGGAGTTTTTACAGTTGTACAGATGCAAACCAGTGTGTGTGGGGTAGCTGTGTGCCACGGCATGTGTGTGGAGCCAGAGGACAGCTCGTAGGAATCAGTTCTTCTTTCACTAGGTAGGTCCCAGAAGCCAAAGTTGGCTTGTCAGACTTGTTGGAAAGTGTCTTTTCCTGCTGAGTCAGCTTGCTGCCCTCACGAGTAAAAGTATTTAAAAAGCAATTGTAAAAGGTGTGTAAAGTGTGAACATCTGGAAAAGTGAGGACTCTTGTGCATATGAATGACACACAGGGTCTGCACATTGGGCTAGAGTCAGAAAGGGACTCTGATGACAGATGGACACCCATGACAGATGGCTTCCAGTCCTAGCAAGCCTAGCACTGACTTCAAGTTCCAGGACCTTAAGTTCAAAGTCAGTATTAGCTATTGCAGGAACCATCAGCTTAGGATGGGTTAAGAATCAGTCTGGGGCTCAGCAGAGCAGATGGGCAGGGGACACAGCAGGGTGGGAGGGGCAGGGGATGGGGAGACACACAGCAGGAACACAGTGAACTGGACATTGGGGTGACGGTCACAGGTCTTAGAGGTGACAAATTCTTACTGACATCAGTTTAAACCACTGAACTTCAAAGTAAATATGTGACTCTTTCCATTGCCTGTAACACAAAAGGGGAAGGCCAGGCAGTGACAGGAAGTTGGGTCAAAGAAAGTAAAGTTATAGTGCAGGCACTAAGATCAATAAGTAATAAATGGGCCCTCATGGAACAGAAAAGCTTCTGTAAGGCAAAAGGCACAATCAATCAGACAAAGAGGCAGCCTACAGAACAGGGAAAGATTTTTGCCAATTCCATATCAATAGAGGCAAAATATCCAAAATCTGTAAAGAACTCAAGAAATTAGATACAACCCCCCCCACACACACACATAACCCAATAAAAATGGGGTGGGAATGGCTTGGTGCCAAAGACCCGCAGATGTCTGGCTGTAGAGTCATGGATGTAGCCTCTGGGGTGTCAGTTAGAGCAGAGACGAGGAGGGGGATGGGAGAGAGCAGAAGTCTGCAGGGATGGTGTCTGAGAAGCAGAGCAGGGCCCAGCGAGCTTCTGGAATGTGTTCCTAGACATGGTGTCATGTCCAGTAATGCCAGGAGAGGCCAGGAGATGGCAGTCCACGTGAAGTGGGAAACTTTATAGGCATTTGATTCTTGTCCCTAGTTGTTGTCCCCTAAAACAAGTAAGGAAGTGTGAACATGACTTCCGTCTACACAGTTCTACTACAGGGTTAGGAAATGGCAGCTACTTGGCCTGGGGAGCAAATGGGGTTAGCAATGAGAGAAGTTTCACATCAAGTTTCCAGGAAATGTAGCCCTAGCCGTCAGGAAGGCCCTCCAGATGTGCCAGATGTAATCACCTTATGTTCACATTAATACATTTTCCAAGACAAATGAGCTAGGAGAACCATGTTCCTCTCAGTCTGTGAAGTTGCACCTGGAAACACTGGGGTAAAGATTTTCTGTGTGAATTTGGCAAAGGTATCCATACTTCCTAACCATGGCAGTTTGCGCCACAGTTACCAGACAACTCCCTCCTGCAACTGAAAAAAGATAATCGAGGGAGGGAGATGGCTCACGCAGTGAAGTGACTGTTTTGCAATCATGATCCCCAGAACCCATCTAAAAAAAAAAAATCTGGGCATGGTGGCATGCACTTGGGATCTTAGTGTTGAGGGTATGGAGACAGGCAGGTCCCAAGGGCCTATTGGCCAGCAATCCATAGCATACTTGGTGAGTTCCAGGTCAGTAAGAGACTGTCTCAAAAACCAAGGTAGACAGCTCCGAGGAACAACACCCGAGATTGACCTCCACATGCACATAGATTTATGAGCACGCACACACACACACACACACACACACACAATCATGGCAATGTCCAACAGCAATGGTATCTTTCTGAATGTGGTGTGGCATAAAGTACAGCTGAAACAAACTTAATACTTTAAGAAACATGTGGCAAGCTGGGCATAGTGGCACACACCTTTAATCCTATTACTCAGGGCCCAGAGGCAAGCAGATCTCTGTGAATTTGAGGCCAATCTGATCTAGAGAGTTCAAGACAGCAAGACAGTCAGGTCTACATATAGAGACAAAGAAAGAAAGAAAGAAAGAAAGAAAGAAAGAAAGAAAGAAAGAAAGAAAGAAAGAAAGAAAGAAAGAAAGAGAAAGGAAGGAAGGAAGAAAGAGGGAGGGATAGAAGGAGGGAGGGAGAGGAGCAAGGAAGGAAGGAAAGAAAGAAAGGGAGGGAGAAAGAAAGAAGAGAGAAGAGAGAGGAAGAAGAAAGAGAAAGAAAAGAAGGAAGAAAAGAGTGGCAAAATAAAGCATTGATTTTACTACAGTCCCCCAAACAAGAAGAATCTCACCGGATGGGTTTGCTTGGTCCTTCTGGGCCGTTGAGCTCATATGAGAAAATGTTGTCCCATCTAAAATTCAGGTTCCAGTCAAAAGCTCCCCTTACAATAGGTGCTGCTCTATAGTCCAGTGTCATGTCATCAATGACATCAATCACAGGGCACACCACCATTTTGTGGTCCTTAGCAATGGCATGCAGCAAGGGCTCGAGCCAGACTGTATTCACCTCACAGTGGCTATCCAAGAACACCAGGATGTCTCCTGTGAAGGCGAGAGCAGAATAACATTGGTCCTCGACTTAGTAGGTTTTCTGAAGCTTTGATGAAATACCACGACTAAAAGCAACTTGGGAAGGAAAGGGTTTATTTGGCTTCCACTTCCACTTCCATATCATAGTTCGTCATTGAAGGAAGTCAGGAAAGGAACTCAAGCAGGACCGGGACCTGGATGCAGGGGTGCTGCTTACTGGCTTGTTTCTCATGGTTTGCTCAGCCTGCTCTCTTACAGAACCCATGACCACCACTCAGAGGCCGTGCCATTCACAATTAAGAAATTAAGAAAATGCTCTACAGGCTTGCCTAACGCCCTCACAGAGGCATTTTCTCAAGTGAGGCTCCCTCCTCTCTGATGACTCATGCTTCTGTCAAGTTGACACACAACTAGCCAGCTTGCCCCCTAGAGGAAATATGTCCAGTGTAAATGCAAGCTGGATGCAACGAGTATTCATTGACTGTTTATGTGCATTGAGGGAAATGAGAAATACATGTTTTATTGTGCCCAAAAAGGTGAGGCCCCCGTGTGCTGTAAGTGTTCTTAGGAGGTTAGAGGATGGCTTGGAGAAAACTCTAGTGGAGCATGCACATCTGAGAAGGGCTTTCCTTTTTAAAGATCTTTTCAGGAGACTGGAGAGGTGGCTCAGTTATTGGAGTGCTTGCCTTACAAACCTGAGAGTCTAAGTTCAATATCTATTACCTATATTAAAGAAAAAAAAGCAAAACTATCTGGGACTGGTGACGTTTCCTTACAATCCTGGCACTTCGGAGTTGGAAGCAGGTGTCTACCCTAAGGTAGGCCAGCCAGGCAGGCAGCCTGCTTTATGAATTCCAGGTCAGTGAGAGAGCCTGCCTCAAACAAACAACCGTGATGGCACCTGAGAAATAATGCCTAATTTTCGCCTCTGGAAATCTCAGCAGGTGCGGTTTGGACTCTAGTTCACACCTGTAACGGGGGGGGGGGGGGGGGCAGAGAGGTACAGGAGTTTGCCCTTCTTAAGCAGCCATTCCTATTATCCTACGCTTTGCTTTATATGGCTGGGATCAGCTGAAGTCTACCATGTCTTCCTTGCAAAGACAGGCTGTGTGCCCCCCAGACTGTGAGCCACATGAACCCTTTCCTACTTGGTGACAGCGCAAGAAAAGTAATTAACACTCTGGCTCGTGGCCTGGAAGAATGTTCATACCTGAAGCACGGGAGGCGCCGATCATCCTTGACCTAATGAGACCCTCTCTCTTTTTGTTTCTTACTAATTTAATCTTTCCGCGAAAGAGTTCAAGCTGATAGTCCAATTTTTCTTTCAAATCATCTGGAAAAAAAATTTGACACTTCACAATTTATAAACTGCAACTATAGAAATTCAAACATTGTCATTATGACCAATTTCTTCCTTCCTTCCTTTCCTCCCATCTTCCTTCTTTCTTTCTTTTTAAAATTTTTTTTTTAGAGACAATGTTTCTCCGTAGCTTTGGAGCGTGTCCTGAAACTTGCTCTATAGATCAGGCTGGCCTGGAACTCACAGAGATCCACCTGCCTCTGCCTCCCGAGTGCTGGGATTAAAGGCGTGCACCACCACTACCCAGCATGAGCAATTTCTAAAAGCCTACTATTGCACAGATTTTAATGTGGTCCTGTTTAGCCTCCAATCCACAAAAAATGGTTCATAATCAAGCTGTATAATTTTTGTGCTTCTAGTGATATATCTCTGCTTCCCCACATCATTATTAAAATTTACTAAACTGGGCGGTGGTGGCGCACACCTTAATCCCAGCACTGGGAGGCAGAGGCAGGCGGATTTCCATGAGTTTGAGGCCAGCTGGTCTACAGAGCAAGTTCCAGGACAGACTCTAAATCTACACAGAGAAACCATGTCTCAAAAAATCTAAATAAATAAATAAATAAATAAATAAATAAATTACTACATCATTATTAAAATTTAGTAGAAAAACATGTAGGTTATAAGGCTTTTTTTTTTTTTTTTAGTTTTTTGAGACAGGGTTTCTCTGTGGTTTTGGAACCTGTCTTGGAACTAGCCCTTGTAGACCAGGCTGGTCTCGAACTCACAGAGATCCACCTGCCTCTGCCTCCCAAGTGCTGGGATTAAAGGAGTGCACCACCACTGCCCGGCTATAATCTGATTTTACTACTATTACATAAGTTGTACTGTGATTAATTTTGCTTCTAATTTTGTGTGACTTGAAGGTGAATTATCAAACTAAGCGAGTTCAAGAGCCACCTACATCCATTCCTTCAAGCTAAGAAAGTCCATTGGCACTGTCTTGTGGGCATGTTAAGGAAAGACAGGTTTCAGTTCAAAATTTGTTATATAATTCATGATAAAGTCATTCTGAATTAAAGTAAGGAATATTTTGATCCTGAGTTCCATAGGAACACAACACTCTGTGTCCTGTGTTTGAGGCTCTACATGAATCCAAGGCTAATGTCAAGGAATGGTAGAGATGACTGGTCTGGCAGCATACTTGGGGGCTCGACCACCACTAGTGACCCTCTTGGTCTCCTTTGAAGGGGACTAAAATGCAAGATGTGTATGTAAGCAGGTAATAGAGATCATGGACTGTTCACCAGCTCCATAGGGACTTGGGAAGTGTTAGATCATGAGGATGGAGTCCCCATGAATGGGGCTTATAGGAAGAGGCCCAAGACCTCACTTGATCCAAAGAGGATGGAGCGAAAGAGCATCATTGTAAAAAAAAAGCCAAAAGAACACTGTTACCAACCTGGTCTTGTTGGCACCCTGGTCTCAGATCAGTGTTTGTTGCTCAAGCCACTTTGTCAAGCTGACAAGAGACCAATGTGTCCCTAGACTTTTGGTGCTGCTCTGGAAGGCTGGCAGACATGGTCACTCCTGGAGCTGCATGCCCAGTGTGGGATTTGTGACTTCTGAGTAAGAAAGCAGAACTCTGGCCAGCAGGTACACCTGCACCCTGCACCCAGCTTTACTGAGATTTTCTGAGCAGCAAGCTGTAGACATCTCAGCTCTACCGAGCAGATAAGATAGTTTGGGGGAAGAGAGACTCAGCTAGTAATGACTCCTATAGAAATGTCATGTGATAGGTTCCTGGCCAAATCATATAACTTCCATAGTAACATTAGCTTGGGTCACACCCAGAGCAACCTCCAGTCACTCCCACAGGGCAGCCCTCCTGGAATATCTTTTCTTCTCAATATACCTTTTTCCTGCGGGGCTGTCATGGCGCACACCTTTAATCCCAGAACTCAGGAGGCAGAGGCAGGTGGATCTCTGTGAGTTCAAGGCCAGCCTAGATCCAAAGCTACAGAAAAACCCTGTCTCAAAAAACCAAAATCCAACAACAAAGCAAAACAAAAAACTCAAAAACAAACAAACAAACAAACAAACAAAAAAACCCATACCTTTTCCCTTTTAAGTTAATCATAGACTAGCTTCTAGTGGATTGGGTGACTTTGCAGGTCTGAAACCTACCCAATATTGACATGATTATCCGGGCACTCCTGGCTTGCCTAAGGATAATAATTAGTTGTAAACAGACAACTACTTTCAAAGCCTAAGCAGGGGTAGCTAGACTTTTGTTCTAATGTCTTCATCCTATCGTAAGAAGCAAGCATAGAAGAATCATTGCTTACTTGTAGTTGGCTCGAGTTCTTTCCTAGGTCATCTCCCTATGATAAGCCCTGACTTGCTCTTCATATTCATCCATCCATTCATATTTTTGAACAAGGTAGCTGTTTAAAATGTTCAGATTGGCTTTGAACTTGCTTTGTAGCCAAGGATAACCTTGACCTGGTCCTCTACTCCCACTTCCACCACCACACCCAGATTAAGCATCATGAATCCCAGGTCTTACACAGGCCAGGCAAACACTCCACCAACTGAGCTACAGAGCCGTAGCTTCCCATGTTCTTCATGAGTAGTCGCTTTTAAACAACTCCAGCTTTATGCCTCGTCCTTCCAACTGTGCACTCATGCGTAAACTTCATACACTGCGGAAGTATCCCATGCTCACCCTGATTTGTCTCATCTCGGGCCTTTAAAGTGCCATTTCTTTCACCTAAAACATGTTCCTTCCTAGCCATTTGGGCAACCGCAGCCTATCTGTGCCTCTCCCACTGAGACGGCACTTCTCTCTGAAGTGATCCCTAAAGTCAAGGCAACGCCCCTGTGCTGACTTCACGGACATCATGCCAGGCCTGGGTCAATCTTTCTCACCATACACAGTGGGTGCAACAGGTATAGCATCTCCCCCACAGCTCCTAGAAACATCCTCTATGTGAAACAGCAGTGTTTCCCCCATGCATGGGGACTCGTACTCATGAATCCAGCACTTTGAAGGTGGAGGCAAGAGGATCAGGAGTTCAAGGTGGGCCTAGCCTGGGCTACATGTGACCATTTCCCCCAAACAAAACAAATCTCATGTATCACTCGAGAAGAATGCCACCTTCCGGGCAGATGATTGTCACTGTTTGTCTCACCAATTTCACTCATGTCATCAACCAAAATTATTTCCTCAAGGAAACGGTGTGGGGTGAGGTTCATCACACTGGACACTGTCCGGAGCAAGGTGTTAAATTCCTCATTATAAAAACATATGATGATGCTGGCGGCGGGGAGATAGGCTGGGTAGTGTTTCTGATGACATCTGCAAGAAAAACAGGGAGAGAATTAGTCATCCCAAACCTCACGTGTGGGGCCCTTTCAAATGCTAGTCCTCACTCTGGCTTTCGTTAGTGAACATTAGAACAGCACATTAAAAAATACAAAAATTAACAACAAAATGTCCTTAAATTTTTAAACATTATTTTCATGTATGTGTATATGTCTACATCTATGTGTGCAGACACATGTACATGCAAGTGCCTGTGGAGACCAGAAGAGGGCGTCAGAGACCCCAGAGCTGGAGTTGAGGCAGATGTGAGCTGCCTGACATGGGGGCTGAGAGTCAAACTCTGGTCCTCTGGAAAAGTAGTAAGCTCTCTTGATTTCTGAGCCATTTCTCCTGTCTGTCCTTAAAGTCTTTAATTTTTTTAACCTTTACTTATTTTGTTGTGTGGGTGGGTGGGAGGTATATGTGCCTGCCACGGTGGGCACGTGAGGTGGTCGTACAGTTTACAGGAGCCGGTCCTCTCCTTCACCATGTGGGCTTCAATCTCAGGTGTGCAGATGCCACCTTGCTGACCACACTAAATTCTATACTCTTCTCATACTTTGGACTTATTGTCCTCTTTATAATTACTCTTCCTTGACTTTCCATTTTGATAATCTTAGGTCTATTTTAAAGATAATATTAAACACAGATTATATCCAAATATTGGCATCTATTCTAAATATGGTGGTTTAAATTTATGGAAAGATAACTTCAAAGTAAATTCACTGTGCCGTGTGCTTAGCTTTGCTTTGGGGGTTTTACTGCGACACCTGATATGACCAAGAATTGTAGTGGAATTGGTGGACTGGCAAAAGGTCATATTATTTTTGTGTGCATACAAGTGAAAAACAGGAGTTGAGATCTAGTGGTTTATTGTTTGGACTAGCATCAGCAAAATAGAAGGGTGACCCAAATACCTCCCAAGACCTAGTTAGAAGAAGACAGCTGGAATCTCAAGGAAATGACAGGGTCAGAAGGCTGAGAGCAATCTGGACTGATCTCCATCACTCTTGCAATAGTGATTGGGCTTTTGTTTTTTAGGCATAACTAACCGTATAGCCGTGGCTGGCCCAAAACTTGCTATGTTGATCAGGCTGCCATGACGTCCTGTGTGCTAAGATTAAGGGTCTGTAAAACCACACCCGCATCCAAGGATGAATCAGAAGGGCTTTCTTTTTCCTGTCAATTCATTGGCTCATAATGGCACAGAGGCCACTTTGAAGGTAATTAATGGGGGCCAGACAAGTGAGGTCAAAAGAATGAAATCACCATTCCCACTGCAACCGTGTGAAAAGGGCAATATTTTCCAGACAGTTCCAGGGCAGTAGGGACTGGGCAGATGAGCCAAACAGGAATTTTGGCGTGTGTACCTGCAGGATAAACATGGGTTGAAAGAGTGTTTATCCTGACCAACATTGTTAGTCCAGTGGGTGGTGGTACAGAAAGTCTAGCTGCTGAGTGGAAGCTGGCACCATGCCCAAAGGAATGGAAACCGTGTGAGGTGGCAACCTGGCCAAATCTGGAGTGGTCGCAAGCACGGCAAGCGCATCGTCTGCACCCAGATGGATGTGACCCGAGAGCACAGCAACAGAATGATGCGACGACATCAAACTGAAAACCTTCTGCGTGACAACAGAAATTACCATCAGGGTGAAGAGATACCTCTAGATTCAGCAAAACTACTGGCAACATACATCTGACTAGGGGTTGAGAGCCAGACTGCTTATTGCTAGAGTCAACAATTGTAGAGTGTTGAGGCTGTAACACAGTAGAGTGCTCATCTAGCCCTGGGTTAGATCTCAGGATCAGGAACACGCAGGACACTGTCTTTAAAAACAAAAACAAAAACAAAAAACCCAAAAAGCCCTAGCAGACCTTCTTCAAAAGAAAACAAGTGGTCAATAAGTGGGGGAGGGAATAGGAGTAGAGAAGGGGGGACTGGGGTTGGTATGTAAAATAAATGAAAACATTAAAAATAAAACTATTCAATGCCGCCAGTCATCAGGGAGATGCAAATTAGAACTATGAGACGGATGAGATTCCAGCTCACATTATCAAAATAATGAGGACACTGTGGAGGACAACATAATCCAACAACTCTGCTCTTAGATATCCACTCAGGTGTAAGTCGAGCCTCGATAAGAGATATCTGCCTCTCACACTACTGCAGCATGATTCCTAGTAGTTAAGATATGAAACCACCAAAGCGCCCAGCAGAAGAGGAATGAGTTAAGTGTGTGCACGCAGCGGAATGCTATTTAGCTTTAACAACGCAGGCAGGTGAGACGGTTCATTGGTAGAGGGACATGATGATCTGCGTTGATCCCTGGGCTCCACATAGTCAAAAGAAGAGAGCCTCTGACCTCCACACCAGCCTGTACTGTGTGCATATGTATATGTGAACACACATGCAAATTAAATAGATACAGTTTTTAAGATAGGAAATTCAGTTATGTATCACAATAAAGATAGACCCAGAGAAACCCTGTCTCAAAAACCCAAAATAAATAAAAAGATAGGCCTAGAACAGCTGGAGTGAAAATAACACAGGAGGGAGAATTAGTCTTCTCCAGAGTTATGCAAACCAAATAGTTATCCAACGCCAACTGGCCAGTCATAGATATAGATATAGATATAGAGATATAGATATAGAGATAGAGATAGAGAGATAGAGAGATAGAGATAGAGATAGAGATAGAGATAGAGATAGAGATAGATAGAGATATAGATAGATATAGATATGCACATACATATGTATATACACATGCTAAAACACTAAACAGGTCCATCAGAGTACTGCTGGAGATGATGCTTGGCCATTATTGGACAAATCACATATTTCCATTAGTTGAAACTTCTAGTGGGACTTGACAACTCAGGTTTGTAGAAGAGCAAGGTGGTTAGTGAAGGGTGGGGCAGGGATGAGGAGGGAAATGGTTGGAGGCCATGCAGAAGAGCCAGGGTGGGAGTCCCAGAGCCCCATTGTATAGCACTATATATATGTAATGTGTGTGTACAGTGCTGAGAAAATGGGTCTTACGTGTTTTTAGCATGTGAAGATGATAGGCATGTGACATTGTACATATTCTAATTTGCCTAATGTAGCTTCTCCACAGTATACAAAAGTGCTCTGTACCATAGATACACAAATTTTACTTTTCAGTTAAAAATTCAGATTAAAATTGAAGACAAAGCTAGAAAGATGGCTCGGTGGTTAAGCACACTGGCTGGACTCCCAGCATTCACTCACAGCTGTCTATAACTTCAGCTCCAGGAAATCTGATGCTGTCTTCTGGAGCCAGAGAGCACCGGGCACAAAAGTGGTGAGCATACATACATGCAGGCAAAAACACCCATACAAATAAAAGTAAATACATCTTTTTTAAAAATCAAGGCAAGCTGAACCAGAAGTCCCAAATAATGAAAAGATGTGATTTGTCCAACAATGGCCAAGCCTGCTGAATCTATTTAGTGTTTTAATGTGTGTGTGTGTGTGTGTGTGTGTATGCATATAAAAACCACTTGGGGTTGGATAACCATCTTTGGGTGCATATCTCTTGGGAAGACTAATTCTCTCTCTCCCTCTCTTGGTAGTTGTTAGTTGCCTTTAGTTCTTACCTAGGGATAAGCCAGTTTTAATTTCTTCTCTCCATGGTGACACGCCCCGTGCCATTGTTCAGGTCTTGTTTAAGCAGGCGTATTTCGACTTTGTTTTTCCTATCGAGTGATTATGCGATGGAAGAAAGGAACCAAGGCAGTTACACCATTTTAGATAAGATTTAGGGGGACATAGTAGCGTGGGGAGAAATTAACAGTTTACTGGAATTAAAATATCGATCTTTGTGGTAGTTAAATCTTAACTTGATTTAAAGATTGTGCTTCAAGTTAAATTAATACCATGCGTATAGTTTAAGGAAATTTAAATTTATGCTTTTTGTGTGTGGGGGGAGGTAAGAGAGACGTACAGTTGAGGTTAACCCTGAACTTCTGACTCTCCTGCCTCCACCCCAACACTGAGATTACAGGCAGTCACCACCATTCTTGGTTTATGTGGTGCTGGGAATAAACCCTGGGCCTTGTGTATGCCAAACACTCCAGTTGAACTACATCTCCAGCCCAAGTTTGTTTTCTTTCATCATGACTCAGTTACACTCTGCTATTGCGTGCACTCACTCCATCTACTGAGTGTGCCCTATTATGAGTGGTTGTGGCTTCACTTGCTTGTGTTGCACACATATCACACAGTACAGCAATATGGCCCATTTTCCATTTTCCTGGAATGGCATTAACTTGAACATTTTTCTTTCAGCTAATGGGAACTGATAATCTTTTCTAGAAAATGATTAGAACCTAAATAATATTTAAGAGGCATCAACAAGCAAGATACTGAACAGATGAACCTCAAGAACATTGTGCTAAATGAAATAAGCCAATACCCCAAAAGACAAATTTTGTATGCTTTTACTGTTTTGAGGTCTCTGGGTGGTAAAGACTCTAAGTGGACTGGGGAAAGGGGAGTGCAAGTTTCACTTCAGGCAGTGCTGTGGTTGCTCACGACTGTCCGTGCTTAATGTTGTTGAATTGTCCACTAGAAAATTATTAACATGGCAATTTTATATTCATTTTTTACCACAACTAACATAAACACAGATAACAGAAGACACGAGAATGAAGCGGACTAGGAAGGAAAAGATAGGCGGACATCCAAAGCAGTTTCTGTTGGGAATTAATGCTTTGGCCAGGAGCCCTCACTGGTGACTGAGTAAAAACCCTCAAGAGATTTACTTAACACTTCAAAACCTCTAGAACATGTCCTGCCAAGGGGGAAAGTGGTCTCCACACCGTTAGACATCAGAATCTTGACCTTGTCTGACTTAAAGTCACAAGAACAGGAATCTATACTACAAGATTTCTTATATGCTAAAATTGAGCTTGGTTAGTGGGGAACATACATTTTATCCCTGGAATCTGGCACCTCTCTCCTGATGCCCAGTCTTCTGCTGATAACAGCATTAAGTCCATATTGTTGAAATTCTTTGTAAAATTCTGGGGCTGAAAAGTCAATCGTATCTGCAAGAGAAAGGTAGTTTGCGTCACAAAAGTAAAAGCTTACTGCTGGCCCACTGACACAAGTAACATGAGCAACCGTATCCTGAATTTTTCTGAAGCAGTCATTTTCCGGACTCTCAACTACCCACAGATGAGGTTAAAGGTGAAAGCCCAGCGCTTTGCATAACCCAAAGCAGACTTCTTAGTAAATTTGTCGTTAGTTCTAGATGGAAGACACCTAGCCCTGTCGGAGCTGCATCAATCGCTTTCCTGTTGTGTTAAATATCCCAATGAAAGCATCTTAAGAAGTGAGGGGTTGTTTTGATAGACAGTTCTAGAAGTCCATTTTAGAGGGGAGGGCACTGCGGCAAGCACCTAGCAGAGGGCAGTGCGTTCAACTTGCTTACTTTTCCCTTTTTATTATATGGTTCAGGGAATGCTCACTCTCTCCCTCTCTCCCTCCCTCCCTCCCTCTCTCCCTCCCTCCTTCCCTCCCTCCCTCCCTCCCTCC